CTAATTTATATAAGCAGAAATCTGGGAAACAGGCATGGGAATGAATATTAAAGGTATGGGATAATGGTGGAAGGAACATAGAGTTGGATCAGGCTGAATTTATTGATTTGGGTCCTCTAAGCAGGGATTCTGCATTTAATGTTGCAGCTTGCGGAACTAAAAAAGATTCTAGTTTATTTGCTTGGTTAGCTGAAATATGGATTAAAAGATGGCCCACTGTGAGCGAGCTGATAATGCCTGATCTCCTTGGGTTAATGTAGAAGAAGGGATCCGAAAGCTTAGGGAGTTTGGGATGGGGGAGAGGATTAGTCACTTAAAGCCTACTCATCCAAGCTGGGAGTATTTACTGCTTTTCTATGTAGACGCAGCTCTAATGGCTTCCTTTGGCCTTTTCCACCGTAATAGCCTTCACCCTGCAAGTCAGGGGGCAATGTAGAGATTCTTCCAGCTGCTAAGCATCTGTATGCCAATTATGCCTTCTGGCACTGGGGAAATGACTGCATGATGAGTGTGGGGACCAACTGGACCCACTGTAAGTTGAACCTGAGCTAAAGCTCCATTAATTACATGACCTCTATAAGCCCCTACTATAACTGGAGGACCATAATGACATTTGGATCCCCTGGAATCCATGTCAGCTCAGAGTCAGTGTCCAGTAGTCCCTAAAAGGTCTGATCATTTTTCTTTCTTTCCCCAATCCAGTTACCCTGGTAAAAGGCCAGAGATCTCCTTGAAGGATGGGAGAAAGATTAACAGCATAAATTGTCAGTAGTGTAGTGGGATCCTTCCTTAAGAGGACCTGGTCTCCTTTTTATTCAAGGAGTTCTGGGTCTGTAAAATGGCACATGTCTGGAAATTGATAGTGGGGCTATGATTCTCTGTTTTTATAATTCAAATTAGTATTTTGTCCACTCGATCTGGAAGTTTTCTGCTTATATAAATTAAGTAAGAATTTGGCAAGCTTCCTATCAATTTCACTTCTAGGAACACTGTGATTAATTAGCCAATGCCAGAACTCTACACAAGTCAGACTATTCTGATTGCTGCTTTGCCTCTTCTATCCGTTATGGTAGCTATGCCCACCTTTCCTTTGATGGTTGAGTGCTGCCATTTGGCCCCTGCCACCTCTGGATCCAATTATTTTTATTGCATTTAAATTTTGTAGTTGAGTGACTGCAGTTCCCACTGTAAGATCTGGCGTACATAGAAGAGCAATCACAGAGCTCTTCAAGGATGCAAGTGCTGCCCTCACAAATCTATTTCACAAAGTGTTGGTCAAGGGTATATCTTCTGAACCCTCCCAGCTGGGATGAGTAGGCTTAAAGTGACTAATCCTCTCCCCCATCCCAACCTCCCTAAGCTTTCGAATCCCTTCTTCTACATTAACCCAAGGAGATCAGGCATTTTCAGCTCGCTCACAGTGGACCATCTTTCAATCCATATTTCAGCTAACCAAGCAAATAAACTAGAATCTTTTTTAACTCCGCAAGCTGCAACATTAAATGCAGAATCCCTGCTTAGAGGACCCAAATCAATAAATTCAGCCTGATCCAACTCTATGTTCCTTCCACCATTATCCCATACCCTTAATATTCATTCCCATGCCTGTTTTCCAGATTTCTGCATATATAAATTAGAAAACTCAAGCAGTTCTTTTCAAGTGTAGTGTACCTTCTCGGGGATCACATTTTGAACCTCACCTCTAGGGGCCTGCTGAGACTTTAGTTATAGGTCTAGAAGCAAACAGGGGCCTTAGGGTGGGTTCTGAGGAGAATCAACATTGTCTTGCTTGGCAATTGCCTGAGGAGAGGCCATCACTGTTGTATTAGGCAGTGCAGGATTTATCTCCTCAGGCAAAGGTGAAAAGGCTTATGGCAGTGTAGGTTAGGGAGGGGATGTTGCCACTACTGGTGATTGGGGAAGCTGTTTCTTCTGGCAAAAATGGCTGGTGAGAGTTTACAAGCTCAGTGTCCCCAGCTTCATCAAGGTCCTACTGCACATCCCCATTCCAAGTTGCCAGGTCCCATTCCTTTTCAATCAATGCTCTCGCTTTAACAGTAGACACCTGGTGAGTCTGTGCGTGCACCTTTTGTTGCGGGTCAGCAAATCACGTGATAAAAGCTTGTGTCTGATTGTCCACAATTTCAGCTCTTTCTCTACAGAAAATAAAACTCTCATTCAGGACAATCTTAGAAGATTTGAGGCTCAGAATCTGCTTCTGAAGCTGAGAGTTAGAATCCCTGAGTTCATAATTTTCTTTCATCACTTTGTCCAGTGAACTTAGGAGCAAAACCAACAAAAGAACTCCATCCTTAATATTCTATTTTCTAGATCCACTCCTGGTACCAAAATCTGTATTAGTCAGGGTTCTCTAGAGGGATAGAACTAATAGAATAGGTGTATATATAAAGGGGAGTTTATTAAGACCAGAAGACGAAATGAGTCTAGTCTTTCCACATTTTTTCTGCCTCCTTCTGTTCTGGCTATGCTGGCAGCTGGGTCTCCCTTTCCTAGTCCACCAACTCAAATGTTAATCTCCTTTGTCAACCCCCTCACAGACACACCCAGGAACAATACTTTGCATCCTTCAATTCAATTAAGTTGACACTCAATATTAACCATAACAGACAGCAAATGCTGTTCTATCTCTGGAAAGTCGTACCATATATAAATAGATAGATAGATAGATAGATAGATAGATAGATAGATAGATAGATAGATAGATACACACACACCATATATATATACACACACCATATATATATATAATATTACCAATGCCAAGAATAGCTTTTTATTAAACTCTTACTATGATCTGGACATTCTACTAAGTGCTTTTTTTGTGCACTTTTTATATCATACCATCACCACAAACTTTTGAGGGAGGATTTCTCATTATCTTCATTTTATGGATGAAGGGAGGTTAAGTAACTTGCCCGAGATCACAACTAATTGGGTCAGGATCAGGATTCAAATAGGGTGACTCTATTATCACAATCATATATATGTAACTATCTAGGTTTCTGCTTTCGTGCCCATCTTCTTTTCAAGATCGCATTGAAAACCAGCTTACATGGTTTTAGCCTTCCACACGTGTTCAGTAGATTACCAAGAACTGCAGGAGCTGTGTTTGTCCACTGAGACATCACTCAGACTCTTGTAAGCATTGAACTAGATTAGTAAATGTAGTAAATTGGTAAAAACTTTTTGCTGCTCCCTTCCATTATTCTTTCAACCTTTTTTTCCAAACATCACCTGCAAAGTGCTTCTCTATTCTCTCTTTGACAGTATAAGTACCAATACCAAGAGCCAGCTGTAAGTTTCTATTATCCTTGGCCTCTTCAGTTCTATTCCTATTTATGACTCACATTCTTCGTTAAGTTTTTTTCCTCTGAGATACTATATACATATTTTTTTCCTGTGGTAAATGAAGTCCTTTTATTCAGTCCTATCTTCACATACACAAACATACATACACACTTCTAATATGTATATGTAATTTCTGTATACAATGTTTTTCCAAGATGCTTTACTGAATTTTTTAAATAGTTTACAGTACTTTTTAGTTTATATTCTTAGATGTTTGCAATAGATGTTATTCATACTAAATAACAGTAGTTTCAGCCATTTGTTTCAACTATTTTTCTTATATAACTATTTTGGTTAATATACCCCAAATAGTAATACATAATAGTCTACATGTTTATCTTGATTTTGACTTTAATAAGATGGGCCCACTTTTTATCATTTAACTTGATAAAGACTTGTAGACTGAGACAGATGTCCTATCATGTTACAGAAAGTATAATTATATATATTTTACCAATAATGTTTAAGTCACTAATAATGTTGGATTGTATTAAACGCCCTATCCTATCAACGCTGTAAATGTGAATAGCCATTAGCATGTAATGTTTTCCTTAAATGTATTTATTATATATATTAGAATATTTCAATATTAAAAATCTTTGTAGAGTTGAAGGATCATCCCAAATGTTCCTGATGTATTTTATGTTACACGATGGATGATTTGCTCTACTGTTTTCTTTTTCTCCAATGGTGATTTAGATAACATGAATCATCTCTACGTCTGGGTATTTGGAAACTAAAGAAGTTTATTGAGCTATTTTATTAGTCCAGTTTCTTTGTATTAAGATATCATTTTTGAATCATCTGAGATCAAATTTGTAAAGGAAATTGAAAGCTCTAACAATGGAATATTATAAGGCAGAGAGTCTTATAACCAACTTGACTAGCTATTTTGGCTAAATGAAAAATAATTGTCCCATTGATGGATTCAAATGAAGTAGTGTATTCTAGTTATCAAATAATTGGGAACTAAATTTTATGTGCTACTATTTTATTTTATAACCTTTTAAACATATTTTCAATGAGAATTATTTTAGTACCTTTTTTGTTTATTGTATTCAATATTGATACCACATAAGAATTACTTCTTATCAGGAATTTGGAAGCTTTATCTATCAGTGTCCTCAAACAGTTTTAATACCATTCCAGTTAGCTATTATTTGAAAGGCTTGATAAATTATCCAATGGACTCATCTGGCAGAATTTCTCTGTTCTTTATGGGAAAAGAGAAAATTATGTGCAATCTCTTGCTTTCTAAGATAATTGACCTATTTATACATATCTATCTACTTTGGAATAAAGTTTACTGAATTGTGATTTCCAAAACTTGTTTAAAGCTTTTTATCTCCGTTTTTTTCTCTCATTCCTAGTTTATTATTTCAGGATCCTTATCAGTTGCAGCAGGAATTAGAACAACAAAAGGTCTGGTGAGTAATATTTTGTGGGGGGTATCAAAAGGAAAGGATTAATCAATAATGGATTCTGCCAGGGTATAAAACAGGTTTTGTTTGTTTGCTTTTAAAAAATCAGGAGTGATTGTGCATTTTACTTAGCAGGATCTGTCTTTCAAAAATTGCAATAAGGCTAGTGATAGAATTACTGACATAATGGATATTTTGTCAAGGTAGTTGATGAGGGGAACTTTATGAAGATATAGAGAATTATTTAGAACAAATATGAAGTGGAATCACTCAAAAAAAACTCCGCAGCTTGGGATTCAGCCCATGACAGTCACACCAAGTATTGGTGTGGCATAATGTTTATTGACCAATTGGTTAAAATGTAGATTCTGGCGAGGCACGGTGGCTCACGCCTGTAATCCTAGTACTTTGGGAGGCTGAAGCGAGCGAATCATTTGAAGTCAGAAGTTTGAAACCAGCCTGGCTAACATAGTGAAACCCCTTCTCTACTACAAATACAAAAAAAATTAGCCAGTCGTAGTGGCGGATGCCTGTGATCCCAGCCACTCAGGAGGCTGAGGCAGGAGAATCGCTTGAATCCTGGAGACGGAGGTTGCAGTGAGCTGAGATCGTGCCACTGCACTTCAGCCTGGTGACAGAGCAAAACTCCGTCTCAAAAAGAAAAAGAAAAAGTAGATTTCAACTGTATCCAAACAGGATTTTGAGTTTTCAGTATAAGAAATTCACAATAAAGTTATTACATCAGAAGAAGCAAATTTAAAATGTAACTCTCATGTCAATATGCCTTTCATAAAGCCAACAAAATGGAAAAGCCAAGATCTCAACAAGAGTTTTTCTAGCTAAACACCATATTTGAGTTTTCTTTGCTCAAAAGATAAATATCAAACTGTGGAGCATGATCAGCATGGGTTTTCCAAATCTGGCCTAACCCAACTTCCTAGTGTCTGCAGGGACCTGCAGCCACACTACATTCTTCACACTGTCCTGTGTAACTTTAATTCTCATTAAAAGCCTCCTTACCTTTACCCATGAGAAGAGAAGGTACGAAAGGGAATGCACAACTAAGAAAAATAATGTAAAAGGTAGAAAGGCACGAGAGGCAAGCAGTGTTTAGAACAATGATAAGAGACCGGAAGCAAGGAATGGCAGGGAAGGACACAGATAGGACTGTCCAGCTGATGTGTAAAAAATCATTGAAACCCTGCTAAATGATTTGGAGATTATCTCATCTGCTCACAGGAATTATCTGAAGAATTTAAGCTGGGGAGTCATGGGATCATATTTGTGTTTTGGCAAGAGATTAGAATTGAAACCACTATAAGGAGACAAGTTAGAAGACTATTGAAATAATCAAGATAAAGATAGACTGCAGTGTAAAGTAATTAATAGAGATATATCTGAGGATGATGTTGGATTGCTTAATTAATTTTCATTTCTTTCTAGGTCGGAGGTAGTCTAGGAATGAATATCACCAGCTCAGTCTTTGCTATAACAGGGATCTTAATCAATGCAATAAGCTTGACGTTTTATTCATTCAGTTACCATTACTGTAACCGGAACCAGTTGTCAAATAATTGTTACATGACTGTGTCCATTTTAATGGTAAGTGCTTTCTCTTTTCGTGAGATATTATCACAGAAGCAAGTTTGGGGGAGTGCTGGCTCTGGGAACAACAATAATTAACATTCCCTAATTGCTGAATGACTTTGGAAGTTGGAAGTGATTGAGAAGTAGAATAATCTTTCAATTTGGATTCAGGTACACATCTCATCTCTGTCTTTATTTTTCCTCTATATGTGATGAGCCAAAATGGGAAGAAAGCTTATAGTTATAGAACACCTACTCCTTATTAGTTATTGTGCTGGGTATTTTGCATAAATTTATCTGTTTAATTTTAAAACATTGATGCAGTGTCTACTGTTATCTCCTCCAGATCCCTCTAGAAATGGGGTCGAGATGTCAGTCCCTATTCTCTAATAATAAAGTAAAATTGTCTTGAACAGTGTTTTCTAAGTGGTGAGTAACTCAGTATCCTTTCCAACATCTTTGGATCTTCTTCCAATGTTAATCACTTTTATCCTCAACATGTGGCACCTGAAAAATTCTCAATCTCCATTCTGAATTTTACTACCTTTTTTGTACCAGTTGTCCTTATTTCAATGCAATCTTAATTGCTTTATTCTGAAAATTGCCACTTCCACAGTATTTTGTAAGTAATAAAACTTCTTGATGTTTCGGGCCATTGGGTAAATGTGAGGAGGAAGAGTTATTGCAGCACATCACAGCAAACTAAAATGCACAATTTAATCTTTATTATTATTATTATTATTATTATTGTTAGAGACGGAGTTTCACTCTTGTCGCCCAGGCTGGAGTGCAGTGGTACGATCTCTGCTCACTGCAACCTCCACCTCCCAGGTTCAAGTGATTCTCCTGCCTCAGCATCCCAAGTAACTGGAATTACAGGCATGTGCCACCACGCCTGGCTAATGTTTGAATTTTTAGTGGAGACAGGGTTTCCCCATATTGGCCAGGCTGGTCTCAAACTCCCGACCTCAGGTGATCCACCCACCTCGGTCTCCCAAAGTGCTGGGATTACAGATGTGAACCACCACGCCTGGCCAGATCTTTATTATTAAAAAGCCTATTGGTCATTTTCAACACCACTACATTTTCGGTTACTGTTCCTCTCTATGAACTTTCAGCCATTTGCCTTACTGCTTAGTTCTTTCCTCATTGTGCCCTTCCCTCATGTGTATGTGAAAACTCAACACTCTTCCTAACTTACTAGACAGAATCAATTGCATTCTGTTTACTGCATTTCTAGCTAATTCCACATAGTCTTGAGGGCTACGTAGTCGCATGAAAATAACCGCTTGAGGTGTCTTTGCTAAAGTAATTTACTTCCCTTGAGATATCTAATGCTTTTTATAGTAAGTAATTTTATTTCTTGCCACTCACTCAAAATAAGAAAAGAAAGCTTCTTTTGAGAATTTGACACATTTTCCCTATGTCACTCAGTTGGAAATTGGCAAAAGCAAGAATTGATTGTAGAACTTCTTGTCTCTAATTCCCCTCTGATTTGCTGTTGTTATCCAGAAGAAGAACCTTACTTTTAATTTATGAGGCTCTCTTCATTCATAGACTTTAATGGACAATGATAGAGACAAAATCTGGAATTGGCCAGCTTCATAGGGCTGATTTCGTGGGCATGGGACCTGTGCAGTTACTCAGGACTTCAGAGATAGAAGAGCCCTGTGCTTGATCTAATGCTCTGCTGTTGCTATCTTGAAATTATTTTTAAAAATTTTTAGAAAGAGACTACGTAAATTACTTAGCTGGTTCTGCATTCATTTCAATCACCTTTCCCAGAGGCCATGATGAATTCCTGTTAACTGTGTGAACATTTTTATGCCTGTTCTTATAGCAGAGGACTTCCATAAGAGCTTTCTGGGATTTGAAGCAATGGGTCTCTTCTTGCCTGGGCACCTGCACATTCAGTCCACGGGTCTATGGGTCCATAGTGTATGCCCCATTGCAGGGTTGGTGCCCTGGTAGACATAAGAAAGAGAATAGTTCCCTACCACAAAGGAACTTCAGTTCTCCTGGAAGAAAAAGATAGAAATGCTAGAAACCTTATAATTATTAAAGAGGCTAGAAAAAGTTGAGCTCTAGAAAAAAGTAGAGTCTACCACCTGGAATCATTAGGCAGAACCATATGGAACTGCCAGTGATCAACTATACTTAACCTAGAAAGACAGCAGTTTCGTATGGCTCAAGCTAAGATATATATGTAATTTTAACAAGAGAATCTATAAATTACGTAGCTGGTTCTGTATTCATTTCAATCACCTTTCCCAGAGGCCAGGATGAATTCCTATTAATTGTGTGAACATTATTATGCCTGTTTTTTATAGCAGAGGACCTCCATAAGGGCTTCCTGGGATTTGAAGCAACGGGTCTATTCTTGCCTGGGCACCTGCACAATCAGTCCGCAGGTCTATATACATGCTACGTTTTTTGGAAGCCCAGTCCTGTACCTGTTTTTGTAAATAAAGTTTAATTGAAATGTAACAAATCCTGTTTATTTACATATTGTATATTGCTGCTTTTGTGTTATAACATCAGGTTTGAATATGTGTGCCAGAGACCTTACAGTCTGCAAAACCTAAAATGTACATTATCTGGCCTTTACGGAAAGCTTGCCATCTTCTAGTCTACCCTTCTAGATGGTAAAATCCTTGAAGACAGGGGAATTGTCTGTTTTGTTTGCTGCTCTATATTCTGTGCCTACAACAATATTGGAAACACAGAGGCCACCACAGCTGTTGAAGGCACAAGAAAATAAAAAATCAATGAATGCAGATATTCTCAAAGTCTCGTTAAGTCTGCATCACCCATATCCTGAGCTCTTGGTCTACTGGCTCTTCCGCAACAGAAGGACTATCCCTAACCGTGGAGAGGAAAAGAGAGAATATTTAAACCAGATAATCCCTGCATCAATGCAGGGTAAAATTATTAGAAATGAGTGTACTGCCCGATGTTCTCCAAATTTTGACCATGTTTCTTGGCTGAAGACTAGACCTAAAGCCAGTGCTCTGGGGAGATGGATTAAAGAATGACCTACTTGATGTTCATTGTTGTATTAGCTTCTTATTGTTACTATAACAAATGACTACAAATCATTAGGCAGAACCACATGAAGTCATTTAGTGTCTCAAAACAATACAGTTTGGTTATCTTATGTTTCTGGAGGTCAGAAGTTCAAAGTGGGTCTCACTAGGCTAAAATCAAAGTGTTGGCAGGGGCGTACTCCTTTCTGAAGGCTTAAGCGACAGTAAGTTTTATTGCCTTTTCTAGCTTCTGTAGGCTGCCTATGTTGCTTGGTTTGTCATCCCATCCTCTACCTTCAAATCAAGCAATGCAGCATCTTCCAAACTCTCTTGAACTCTATTCTGCCTCTTACTTCCACTTATAAGGATTCTGTCATTACTTTGAACCCACCTGAATAATCCAGAAAAATTCTCTCATTCCAGCTAATAAGCAACCTTAATTTCATCTGCAAATTTAATCCTTTTTGCTGTGCAAAAAGAACAATGGTCCCCGAGGGAGGTCTGCGTTCTAATTCCCAGAAGCTAAGGATTAGGGAGACAAGGATGCAGACCTCCCTGGGGGACCATTACTCTGCTTACAATCACTAACATATAGAATCATAATATTCTGTCAATGATACGAGTTTCTAGTACTCAATAGGATAAGATGACAATTATCTTTATACTACCTTCCTAACTTTTTAAAACACTTTCATCTTCCATGTCCACAATAGCACTGGGAGGTACTGAACTAGGGAATAAATGTCCGTGATTATTTTATCAGTGAAAAAAGTGAGAAGTTACTTCAGCAGATCAAGAGTTGGTCAAGGGAATGGCTGCCACTGGGAGGCAGGTCTCCTGACTCCCAACCAGTGCTTTTTCTCTGATGACATTGTGGTTCCTGGTAAATGTTTCCTCTTGTCATCTCCGTTTCTCACATTCTTTTGTTATGAATTTTCTCCTAGGGTATGGATGGCATGGTGCTCCTCTTAAGTGTGCTGGAATTCTGCATTGCTGTGTCCCTCTCTGCCTTTGGATGTAAAGTGCTTTGTTGTAGCCCCGGTGAGGTGAGTATTGGCCTTCATTTGAAGGTATCTGTATTACTTTCATATTGTTGTATAACCAGTTAAACAAACTTACAGTCTTAACACAGTACACATTCATTATATTTCAGTTTCCATGGGTCAAGAGTCTGGGCCCCGCTGATGTGGGTCCTTGGCTCAGAATCTGATGAGTCTGTCATCAGGGAGTTGGCTGGGGCTGTGGCCTTGTCTAAAGCTTCTGATTCTCTTCTATGTGAATGTGGTGGAATTAATTTCCTTTAAATTGAGAACTCATGACAATGTGCTTTTTCTTTGAGACCAGCAGGAGAGTCAGAGTCTCTAGTGTTTTAATCCTCTCATAAAGCATTCACATGAAGAGGTGAGGTCCATCCAAAATAGTGAGTTTTTTTATAAACTGAAAGTCAACTAATCAGTACCTACACACGGGACTTGTATCCCATCTTATACACAGGTTTCATCCACACTTGAGGGGAGGGAATCACAAGGGGTCAGTGAGTATCACCTTAGAACTCTGCCTAGCACAATAGCCAAATAAAAGCTCTTTTTCCCCTTCCTTTCTCACTCAAAGGGCATAACCTTTGAATCCAGATAAGAAAATATTTCACAATGAAGAGGTACCCCAAAGTACTTGGTTTTATTCTATTATCCTATTACAACAACTTTTCCTAGAATACTGAAGGAATGTCATGATCTCAGACTTCTCTATCAGTCTGTGCACACCTGCCCACTCTCTTACCCTGAGACCTGCCGCAGATGCTCCCGGCAGTTAAGCCAAAAGAACGTCACACTGAGAGAGGAAAGTGAGGAATGGAAGGAGAGAAAAAATTAAGAAAGAGGCTCTGGGAATAATGGGGTGGGATATCCTCCAAGAACTGAGAGTTCCAGAATGAGGAAATGGATAGTAAAACCCCAACGGCCACTCATTAACTTCATTACCCAAAGTCTGAAAGACAGACAAAACTGTCAGTCAAAGAATAAAGTAACTGTAGTTGGATGAGATTGTTTCTCTGGTGCCTTTCTCCATCATTTTGTGCCTCTCTGTCTTCCTTAGGGATTTCCAGGCCACACCACATCCCACTCCCCGACAGCCCTCCCTCATAGAAGAGAGATGGACTATAGCGCATTGACTCTAGTAGTGGGGCTTTGCATCATAAAACCCTAGAAGTCAGAGATTCTCAGCAATTGCCAATGATTTTGTAATTTCATCAAGTGAAGTAACTTTCATGTCATAATATTTAAGTCTGTGTTCCCTTTGGCTCTTAGCATAGAAGCTGGGGAATGTTGTTTCTCTAATCTCCTGGTGTGAGTCCAGAAAAGCAGTGGCTTTGGGGCATATCTTGGCTAAATCTCTATCTCTTCCTGGTCCTCCACCATGCCCAACCAACCCAATGTTGCACTGAGTTTGTGGAAGAATAACCAGAACTTTTCTTAGTTTCATGATGATTCCTGCTATTCTGGGCCAGTGTGGTTTTTGCAATGCTTTATTCATAACCAGCAAATCATGATTTGGGTATGTTGATGTCATTAGCATGAGCAACCTGGTTTGGAAGAAGAGCCCCATATTTTTCATGACACCTTGGTTTACCCAACATATTGTGCACTGTCATCCACCTGTAAGACTGATTTACTTGCAAGACCAGGGCAGTGGTCATCACAGCTCGGGTCAAGAGCTACCACTGAATGTTGTGTCCTAATCAGGCCTGATCTAAAGAATGACTGAGAAGCCCTACATGATCTTGAGAATCAATCAGAGAAGAAAAGAGTAAACTCTGATGATGATGACTTTATGTGGGCAGGAAAGGGGCACTCTGAGGTTATTTGGGTGACTCGCCTATGGCATTCTGATTGTTTCACAGGTTGTGCTAATTATACCATCAAATTCTCACATGGCAGAAGCAGCACCTCCCACACCACTTAAGACAGTTTGATGTCACCAAAAGATCAACAGAAGAATGCTCCAGAAATCTATGCTGACTGTAACACAAGAACCCCACAAGAGAAAGTACCAGAATCCAACTCCAATACTGATAGACATATTCATATCATTATTATATGTAATCCAGTTACGAACTCTGTGTGTGTGTGTGTGTATATATATATATATTCAAAATTATGTTCTCATTTTCCCCTGGTATTCAACAACTCATTTAACTGGCTCTTTATCGAGAGTACTAGAAGTTAAATTAATAAATAATGCATTTAATGAGGCAACAGTACTTGAAGCGCTTTTCATTCATCATCAGGACTTTATATAAAGGCATTGAACTAGCAAATAAGATTTGGAAGCAGAAAGGCAAAAAGGTATTGCTAAAACGAGACCTCCGTGCAAAACGCATAAGCTCCCCTGTATAACATTCCTCCCACTTACTTGACTTGTTTTCTGCCATATTTGGGGACCAAAGTGCTTTTTCCTTCATGAAGTGGAGATTCATGATCTTCTCCCCTTCCCCTTTTCCTTCTGCTTTCCTTCACCCATAGAAAGTACCTTGGAATAGCATAGTCAGTCCTTGCACGTGCACAAGCTATCATTTGAGTAAAACTATACATGGAGTAAAAATCATATTAAGGATCAGATTCAACTTATATTTTCTATTTCTTCTTCTTCCTCTCCTTTCCCCCACCTTCTGCTGGGTAGAATTGTATCTTGATCAAATGTGTATCCTGTGCCATATGTGGAAATGTGCAACATATAGTATTTGTTAAATATTCATTAATTACATTTGCTTTTTTATTTCAGAGCAAAAATAAACTTAGAAGCAATACTTTCATGTGCTACCCCGTTTCTATTCAGATGCAGTATGGTGGAAAGACACTAAATGTTGATATCGGCAATACTGTATGGTGGTAAATAATGTGGGCTTTCTAATCAGCAACCCTGGGTTTTCGTCTTGCTATCCCATCTTTGTTGTTTACTGCCTAGGTAGCTGTGAACATGCCACAGAATGTCTCTGTGCTTCACATTTCTCTTCAGCAAAATAGTAATAATAGTGTCTGGCCCATAGACCTAGGATAATTTCTTGGTATAATAAAGATAGAGCAATTAGTACTCTGGTACGTATGGAACCTCAAAAGCTTTCATTAATACATATACCTATATATGGACGTAGGTACATATTATTTACATTTGTCATTTCATCATTTTATTCAGCGTATATTTGCAAGTATCTATAATGAGGCAGACATTGTTTTAGGCATATAAGAAAATAGTGGTGAATAAGAGAGATAATAGCCTTCCTCTTGTAGGTTAAACTTTTATGGGACGGGACGCAGATTAACATACAACAATGAATCAAAACTTTGTATATGCTGTTAGAAGCTAACTGGAAGAATGAATGTGCTGGAGAGTGGCTGTTAGTAGTGGTGGTGAGAGAGATGAATCATTAGAGAGTAACCAGGAAAGTTCTTTTTGAGGAAGTGATATTTTTGTTATGATAAGATAAAAAGTATTGAATTTGCATAGGCATTCATATTTTCCAACTCAGTATATAGTATTTCTAGATTTATCATTCTGCCGTACACTCGCATATCTACTGTATCCACCTTCCTCCACGCACGCTTTTCATGGGAATGTGAGGCCCTCCTTCTATCAATGCTAACCTGTCTGCTTTCTCCAGCTCCAGAGATGGACAATATCTGGAAAAAGTCAATTATGACATTCTATCTTCTTGGTTGAGGATTGAAAGGTAATCTAGCAAGAGCCACCAAATAGAACCTTAATACTATGGTTCTATGTCAATACAGATGTTCTATGTCTCTTATGGGACATCAGTGAGAATACATGTAGCCTGCTTTATTAGTGGCATATGTGTGTGTCTATAAAGGAAGTAGCTTTAAAAGAAAGTCAAATAAGCAGAAATAGCAATAAATGGAAATGAAATGAATGCTTGATTTCGTGGTTGAGCATCTATCTGTCACAGGGTTCATATAGTAGCACGATGGCTGCTGACTGCAGCAAACTTAACTCTTCACAGCTTAAAGCCCAACAGGAAAGAGGAAAGAGAGGGAGATCATTTCTTTGACAGTGAAGTGAAAATGATGAGATTAATTTTGACTGGAAATGTGTCAGTCATTCACACAATTGGTTTTTCCTAGGTCACAAGGCTACCACAGAACTTCACTTTAGCTGAGTTGATGTAATTTGCTCGCAGACGAGAGCAGAACTGAGAAGCGCCAAGTGAACAATCAGACCCTAACAAAATCCTTTGCGTTGCCAAGTCAAAGTTGACCTCAGGCGGGGTCAATCCCTGATGTTTTAAATATATAAAGGCAAGGGAAGAGAATAAACTGCTATAACTGGACAAAACCCTTCAATGGCTTCCTCTCTAATTCATAATAAAAGCCAGAACTCATACTAAATCCTAGAAGTCCTTACATCACCTGATTCTTTGTTCTCTCTTGGATTTTGTAAACTATCCTAACTATTATCCTGATATATTGCTTTGAGATTATTTTAAGTGGCCTGAGAATGTCTTCTCTTGGTTTCAAATAGTGCATACATAAACTTTTTAAGGTTAACACTTATATCAGCAATCTAAGATTAATGCATTTTTAGTTGTAAAAAGCTAATGCAAATATTTTAAGCAATTCATGCAAGATACTATGATTTCAGCTTGTAGAGAAGGCTGCCTCATGTATTTCATATCATGCAATTTTAAATTTCTTCTTTATTTGGTTATTCTAGGTTCTATCTATAAGTGATTAGGATGTAAAGCAGTAGGAAAATGTCCGTGAACACGTTGCCTTCTTTTGCTACATTTACAATAAAAACAGTTATTCTTTTTATTTATTTATTTAATTCTTGAGACAGGGTCTGGCTCTGTCACCCAGGCTGGAAAGTAGGGGTATGATCTTGGCTCAATGCAACCTCCACTTCCTTGGCTTAAGCCATCTTCCCACCTCAGCCTCCTAAGTAGCCACGCCTACAGGCATACACCATCATACCTGGCTTATTTTCATATTGTTTGTAGAGACAAGGTTTCGCCATGTTGCTCAGGATGGTCTCGAACTCCTGAGCTCAGGTAATCCACCCACTTTGGCCTCCCAAGTGCTGGGAGTACAGGTTTGAGCCACGGCACCTGGCCAAAATAATTATTCTTTATATACATGATTAAATTCCCCACAACTTACTAGCTGTGGGTAGCTTATTATTGTGTTGCCTCAGTTTCTTCATCTATAAAAATTACAATAGTACCTACCTTATAGGCTCTTACAAAGACTACAGGTATTATTAATACTTGTAATCACAGAATGAAGATTGACACTGGTAGGCGATATAAAAAGAGTGCTGAGTGATACTGATAGGTGATATATAAAGAATTATTAACCAATATACAAGCAAATAACAAAGCAAAAATAAAATAATAAAAGAAGCTAAAGATTAAGACAAGTTTTCATTTGAACACATAAGCAGTTATTATACTTTTAAATGTGCAGGAGAAGAAAAAGATAAGCGTGTCCACAGAATTCTGATTTTTACATAGCTGTACTAAGTATAAGAGTAATGTCCACATGGGACACAAAGAAGCTGCACTACCCTGAAAATTGATAATTTTCATTAACTTTAGTGAAGTTTTAGAAGTGGGAATTGATAATACTACTGTTTCAAATCTAATATCAGAACAATCTAAGATTCTCTAAAAATGGAGTCATCTTCCCTCAAACCTGTTTTCCTGTCATTGTGAGTTAGGTAAAATAGATTCCAACCGTAAGACACAGTTTTCCACTGTCAATAGTAATATGCAACCGGGATGAAGTAATGGATCTTTTTCTCTAAGAGAGGAGTATTTAGCTTCTACAGGTGTCATATTGAGAATGACATGGCAGAACAGGCACCTGCAGTCAGGTGGGAAGGACAGTCCTCCTGCAAGTAATCAGCTGTGCACCCTTATGATATAAATCAATTTTGTATTTAGGAAAAACTCAATATGGGTCACTTAGTGGCTTTGATGTACATTTGGAACCTAGGACTGTTTTCGGTTTTGGTAATAGCTCTCAGTTGGCTGTCTGAGAGGATTTTTGGCACAGAAGAAACATAGTGGGGAACAAAAAAAAGACTATAATCTAAGCCAATGCAGTGTAACACAGGTGCATGCAATCAGATAATTTCAGAAAGCTACTGCCCAGATTGAATGGCAAGCTCCCATACATTCTATATACAAAAACATCAAAAAGTTATTTACAAATGTGTACTCTGTCATTAATCTTCATTGTAAATACATTCATAGCACCAAAGGATAGGTTTGTTTTGAAAATAAAGCAACAATTTGCCAACAGCACACACCATAAATCTCCTTCAAATCTTCAAGAGATAGGTCCTCACCTACACCAATTCCTTTCCTTTAGATCATCTCAACATGTATTAATAAGACATAGAGGCAATTTGATTCTTTGTCTGCTTAATGATTGCAAGTGGCTGCTCTGCTGAGTTGAAGTTAGGCCAAAAATTGCTTTTGTATTGACTGGTATGTGCATGTCTGGGTGCAAGGGCTCTGGCAATTAGTGATGCAGTTAATCATCGATTTTCCCTGTGAATAATAAGAATAAAAACAAGTTATAAGGTCTCAAGTATATAAGGTGACATTATTGATAACTTCTTACTATAAGTAGTCCAAGATATTCAGGTAGAGTCAATATACTTGGGACTAAAAATGATTTATTTTTTTAACAAGTATTGATCCAGTATTTTTTTTCTTAGACTTACTGAAGAAAAATGAAGAATTCACACTAAGTTAAATTTGTGTATCACATATTTCTGTCCCCTTTCTCCTCTAAAATCTAATTTCTCTTCACTCATCCTATATATCAATTATTAGAAGAAAAGTAATGATAATTAAAGAATATTCAGATGTGATTTTTTTCAGTCAATGATAAGGAAATGGGTAATCAATAATGAGCAATTTGGAAGTGTACTATAATTAGCATTGCTGCA